ACACGTGGCTGAGCTCCCCAGCACAACACACAACCTGGTCCCTGGCCCTGCACAGTGCTGCCGGAGCGGGGCGCGGGGCTGCCGGGGAGGAGCTGCCGGCTCAGAATGCAGGGAGGGAGGAAGGGGGGGAGGAGCTCCTCTACAGCTGCTCCGGAGTCCAGCCCGTGACTTTCCTGCAACCCTCCCAGCCGCTCGCTCTGCTCTGCTGGGGGAGGGGGGAAATCCCGGACATTTTGAGTGATTTACAAATTCCCCCCGGACGCTATTTTTAGCACAAAAAGGAGGACATGTCCGGGTAAATCCGGACGAATGGTAACCCTAGATTAATAGAAACTATCCTGTCCATTCTCCATCCCTGACTCAACTGCTCCACCACACACATGCATGCACAAACACACCCTACATGTTGCAAATACAATATGACAACACAGTCAGTATGGACATGCACATACCCACACGCCTACCCACCTCCTCCCTGCTTCTTCCAGCCCCTACATACCTGGTGGGTTTGTCCCAGTCATCTTCACTGAAGGTTCCATCCATATAGGGATAGTTCTTCCTGGGATCCCCAGGAGGGGTGCTGTTCTTCTGCCTGCTAGGTCTCCATTCATGTGGATGTAGGGCAATGCCAACAGCCTGAGGTATGTATGTACCTAGGTAAGGCAGGAAGAGAGGAAGAGAGGGGGTGGGGAAAAAAAAAATCACACCGCGTTAGACAGTCATAACGAAACATTAGATCCCAGGGAAGGATGGTCAGGTGCTGAAGGCACTGGATTTATTCTTTAAAAGATCTGATGTCCATTCCAGCTCTGCCACTGACTTTCTGCATGATCTTGAGGAAGTCACTTAATCTCTCAGTGCTTGGTTTCTCCCATCTGTAAAATGGGAATTTATAATACTTCTTTCCTCCCACCTGTAGCTATCTACACCGTAGGCTCTTTGGGGCAGTGACTATCTCTTACTAGGTGTCATCTTGACTGGGTCCTCTATGTGCGACTGTAATACAAATAAACAGTGAGATCAAAATAAAACTTGACCAAATATTTCTTGTCCCTCCGTTGTTTCCATCTTCCCCACCTCAGCATGCAGGAATAACTGTGCCCATTAGTAATGGGAAAGCTGAAGGAAGATACCTATACCATGATACTATTACGAAGAGCAAAGTTACCCTTAAGTGCTGAAGTAGGTCCAAAACCCTGATCCCTCACACAACTGCATTGCCATTGGGTCAGAACTTTTACTGTGATAATGCAGATGGCAGTATGAACTGGACTATTGCCAGTTGACATTTTGTACTTGGCCGAGATCATTCTTAATGGCAGTGAATTCGATGCAGGAATTATTTCTTGTAAGTTTCCAAAGCTGCTTAAAAGAATTTGACAGGTTTCAGAGTAGCAGCCATGTTAGTCTGTATCCGCAAAAAGAACAGGAGTACTTGTGGCACCTTAGAGACTAACAAATTTATTAGAGCATAAGCTTTCGTGGACTACAGCCCACTTCTTCGGATGCATAAAAAATTTGGACACTCAATTCCCATTACTTTTAAGGGATTTGGATGCCAGGTCCCATTTGAGAGCTCTGAAAATCCCACTGTAGGTTAACTATTCCAGAGTCCTAATGAACACTCTCCCAGTTCACTTTAGTGTCCCAGACCCACTCTCAAGCGTCCAACTCCCCAGCTGTTGCCTCCCTTCCACGGGGAGACAGGCCCGCTCCCTTCTAAGCGGGGAATTTTCAGGCTGCATGGTTCTCTGCCTTCAATGTATTTCCTAGCACAAAGATGTTACCCAAGGATACCTGGTTGCTTTCTTGTCAGAGACGGTTAACAGGTAGAATAGCTATAGTTATAAAAGTAGCACACAGCACTTCCTATGCAAGCCTACTTTATTCTGAAGGTAAAAAGCATTACATAAAAACATAATAAAAATAACAGAAGAACCTTCACACATGCTAATAAGTTTGCCAGAGTTAACCCCCAACCATAACATGGAGTTTTGGGAGGATCAGTCCTTCAACCCCCCACCCAAAGGTGATTTTTGTGCTTACCAGTTCATCACAGCTTCAGCTCAGAACAAGCACCCAGTCCTTCCAACCCCACCTCTCCAAGTGGGGGCTTCAAAGGGTTGATAAAGGAGGAAGTTCATTAGCAGTTGCCTCCCTTCCCCCGGTAGAGAAGGCACATGCAATACCACAATAACCCAGACACAACTGCCTTTTTAATATAATGTACCCAAAAGGTATTAACCCTAATTCAATAAAGTTTAACTTAATTCCATAAGGTTTGTTCAGGATAACACAGGATATTGTCAGTCTGCCACAGACACAAGGGAGAGAAAGCTATAAGAAGCAGGACAACACGAGTTTGGAAATAGCATCCAAATGTTGCATTTCATATCTTAAAATCCCTCATGGTGAATGGAACTCTCCCCTTTCAAGGAATTTATCCATGTTGATGGAATCCATTGGTTGGTACCATCAGAGTCACCTGCCTAGGTGCCATTTTGCTGCAGAAAATGTGAAATTCTTGTTGGAAGAGAGTAAAGCCTGGTCTACATTTAAAAATTAGATTGACCTAGCTATGTCACTCAGGGCTGTGAAAAATGTCACTGGGCTGTGGTTAGGTTGACCTAACCCTGGTGTAGCTGGGTCGATGGTGTGACCCCAACAACCTCCTAATACCAACTGGCAACAGGGTGCAGAGGGGTTACAGGAATCTTGTGATTCTGACCTGTACATTCTGTTCACCACAGAATGCCATGAGAGGTCTGAAATGAACCCCGATGTCACAACGGTCATCAATATCATTGTATAGACACTGAAAATACATTCTTCAAGTCTGTCTGGGGGGATTGGTCACCAGCAAAGGCAAAAACACAGGTTCTCCGCCAGACAAGATATTTATATGTTTACATGTAAATTGAGCATTGCCTCATTCACAATAGTTCTCCTATCCCCAGTCTGAACTGAAGGCAAATGAAGGATTGTGGGGACTTCAGAAAGAAACTAATAAAGAGAGACAATCAGCAGGGGTAGGGGAGAGAACCCCATCTGTTGGGATACATATCAAAGGTTTGCTCCACTGTATTTGGGAGGCAAACAGGACACCCTGGTACCCTTCACTGAGGGGGAAAAGGACAGCGGTTTTGCTTCATGGGGTCTCAGCCAGGCTTGGCTGAAAACTCTGGAGAGAGCTTTGGGTGAGATAAGCTTCTTTAGACAACTTGTCAGTTAAAGTTTAGTCTTAAAAAACAAAAAAGCATGTTATGATTTTGTTTGATATAGAACCATTTGTTTCCAATATTCTTTACTCACTATGCCTGAATCTCTGGTCTTTGATAATAAAACATATTCTTGTTTTCACTTTAAATATATCTAAGTGCTGTGGTGTTAAGCCAAGTGATGCTCTGGAGTTGAGTCTTACAGGCTGGTGCGTACTGGTGGGAACAGTGGGCCTGATCGTTCTGGGAGTGTCCATGGACAGATGAGGGGCTGGACTGCGCAGGAAACGCTTGGAATATTCGGGAGTTGGAGTGCACCTATTGCTACCTGCACAGAGAGCGTGAGGCCTGTGGCGGCCTGGCAGCCAGTGCTTGTGCTGCCCGAGGCTGTTGGTTTCAGGAAGCTCGTCCACAGCAGGCACAGACAAGACAGCTTCACGCTCAGGGCAGGTGATGGTGAGGTGCCTCCTACCCCCGAGGAGCACCACAGATGGAAGAACTCTTCTGCAGACCTAGCTACTGCCTCTCCGAGAGGTAGATTAACTATGTCAATGGAAAAACCCCTTCTGTCCATGTAGGAAGCAACTAGTTTATGGCACTACAGTGGCACAGCTGCACTGCCAGAGCTATGCCGCTACAGAAGCTGTAGTTTGGACATATCTTTAGACCCTGATCCTGCAGTGAGTGCCCCAGTACAGACCCCTGTGCCTGGAAAGAGATCACTGCAGGCTCAGGGACTGCAATTTATCAGGAGGAGACATGAAGAAGTGTATCTAACTAAAATATACACGTGTGCCCAAAGAGAAGCTGGTTCATAGCTAATACAAAGTAGTACGCTACAAAGCAGTATACCTCCTATGTGCACATTAAAGCCGCATTGATCCCATATATGATTAACTCCTCCTTCCCCTTCACATAGTAAAGATGAAAATATACAAGCTTCCCCTATTCCTTACGCTAAGAATAATTCTTTACATACCACGCAATTTGAGATACAAAGATTTGATGGCCCCTGAGCAGCAAGAAACTGTAGATCTCAAGGGGGCTGAAGTAGCATAGACAGCGACTTTTCCAAACAGAGCATTCATTGGTAATTTTGGTGCTGTCGGCAAAGGAAATAACCTCACTTGCACCCCCTCCCCACCTTCCTCACTCCCCGGCCTATTCAGTACGTTTTTCAGAGAAATTCTAGCAGCCTTTCCAAGAAAAGTTGCACACTGCCATACACGCTTTGCCAAATCAACAGGAAGAGGTAGTGGAGCAACACATAATTAAAGGAGACTTGACCTCCTGGACAGCCAAGAGCAATGGAAATGCCGAGGGACAATGCCAGTAATTCCTATGAAAATGCCAAGGTCCATTATTTATCTTAGCGGAGTGTTCTCTGTGCTTAAAGGTTAGAGAGTTCCGGAGAGAGTGCCCCAGAAAATACTTGCCAGCAGCTCACAAAAGCCAAGAGCATCAGCCATTTCCTGGGTCAGGAGAACATCATGGTCCCTTTGCCCAAACCCCTATGTTGCTACGAGTCAAATTCCCCCCCAAGTGCATTAGGGCCAGAATACAGCAATATATCTGGCTGTCAACCTGGGTGTTCCTTAGCTCTCTCCCTCCATTCAGTCCCATAAGCACAAATGTTTCTCTGGCTTTTCTCCTGGGAAATCCAACATAAAATCCTACAGCATTGGAGCCCCCTGGTGGTACATTCATGACACAGTCTAGTGCAACAGCTTCACCCAAATCCTTCATATGGCAGAGCTATTTTGTTCAGTTAACAGCTAGGAATGGTAGGTACAAATGGAACATGAGGTAAATTTATTTAGTCTGATCCTGTGCTATTATTTTGCTGAATGGGCTTCACAACCAGCCCTGTTAACCCTACCCACACCATGGCATCAGCAACACTTCTGGCCCTGCAGTGGGCGAGGACAAGTTCTTCACTATTACTACTCCATGCTTCTGCCCGCCAGGCATTTGAGTCTATTCTGAGCATCCCTCTGTCCATTCCACACTCACTTCCGCCAGTGTCAGTATAATGCAATGAAGAGTAATGCAATAAACAGAAAATACAAGAAAGGCCCTTTTAGCCAGGCTGCTTTTTGCCTATGGCTCCATTGCCTCCAGATAATGAGTCTCTCCTTTCGTGTTTGTGAGAGCCAATCATATTGCTTTACTTCGCAGTATCTTTTGCTGTTATGCAATGGTTTCATTAAGCCCTTTCCCCCAGCGATTAGGGAAGAGATTCTAATATATTGGTTTCATTATCCCTAACACAGATATAGAGTGACATATTTGCAGAGGTTAGAAAGATCCGAAGCGATAGTCATACTTCATTGAACGAGGTATTCAGTGCGTGGTGAACCCAAGTGCTACTAATTACACAAAGCGCTTATGGATTTCAAGCAACCTTCCTTGCTACTGGCTAAGACAGATAATATTTCAAATGGATGAAAATAAACCCAAGCATCAGGTACGAAAGCTATTTAAAGTGGTATAATCCAGAAGCTAAAGTAAGTGGTTGGGTGTCAACAGACTTGGGTTCTATCCCCAATTCTGTTATTGACCCACTGTGTGATCCTGAGCAAGTCACAACCTCTAGTGGCCCCAGTTTTCCCCATCTATAAAACGGGGATAATATTTATTTATCTTTGTAGAGGGCTTTGAGATTCTCAGGCTAAAGGCACCATAAGTGCAAAACAACAATAGTAGAACTAGTAATGGTAGCAAGGGCTTGCTTGGATAAGCACCCAAATGTTGGTGGCTCTTGAACCTTTGCACATAATTGTTCCAGAAATCTTGCTTCACATTAGGCTGAAAATACCACAAGAACAATCCTGCCCATGGTATTTCAGCAATTCAATGCCCGACTGCAACCAAGAAATCATGCAAGAGGGTCAGGCTCAGTCGGAGTTTGGGACAGCTCTTATTATATCCAGTTTGGCTCCCACATCTACGGTAGAGATCCAGACTCACCTTGGCTTCCATAGCCTGCGTCAATGCCCGAACCATCCCAGGATTCCATAGCGCTGTCCACGCTGGGGATGGTGGTGGAGTAAATCTCGGAGAGTTTGCTAGTTTTCTGAGAGTCGGTCAGTTCATCTTCTGGGTCACTCACTTCATTCATACTCCCTGACTTCTTGGGATAAGACCCTGGAACCAAAACAGATCACTTGTTCTTATGCATTTTATTGAGTATAGATGGGACACATGTTACTTGTCAAAGACCATCAGAGACTGAAGACCTGTTCAGATAAACTTCGTATTTACGAAGGTGATGGGCGAGCATCAGAGAAGGGTGTATGCTCAGATATTTGAGCAAGCCAGAGCAGAAATATCCACTTCCTGCTTCTTGGAAAAAACAGGCCTCCTATGAAAGGAGTCATCACTCTTAACTGCAACCTTTATATTTTGCTAACACACACTTAACTTTGCCACCAGGGGGTCTACTGGTATTAAGAGTAGATTCTTGGCCTTGCAAATCTTCTGAGGAAACACTTTAGAACATCTGTATCTGAGAAGGGAGATTATACTATTGGACAGTTAGGAGGACTCCATACATAATATGGCTGCTCTCACAGAGCCCTAAAAACTGGCCATCTTTTTATGTTGTGCATGTTCTTATATACATGTTGTACATAAGAAACTAACCACTGGGATTTTTTTTGTGTTACAGAATGCAGAGATTTAGGGTGACCAGACAGCAAGTGTGAAAAATCGGGACAGGGGGTGGGGGGGTAATAGGAGCCTATATAAGAAAAAGACCAAAAAAATCAGGACTGTCCCTATAAAATCAGGACATCTGGTCACCCTACAGAGACTTCAGAGCTACGCTAAATCCCCAAATCCACCCCTTCCTCCTTCTGGAGCAGGGGAAGGCAAACTATGGCCCACAGGCCAGATCTGGCCCGTCAGGGCTTTCAATCCGGCACACGGGATTGCCAGCTCCCTTAGAATGTTATTGTGAAGCATTATACTTAGAATGTTAATGTGAAGCCACTTTTCTGACCACAACTTGGCATTTCTTCAACCATTTTAGTGACCTACAGAGAAAGCACCCACAGAGCATCATGGGGGAAAGATTTGTTTTGGAGAAGGCCCTAGAAGTTTGGCCTAGCAGGTTGATGCTGGACTCAGACTTGGGACACCTGGGTTTAATTCCCTGCTCTGCCACCGTTTTGCAGGGTGACCTTGGACAAGTCAAAGCTCTCCTGATGCCTCAGCTTTCCCATCTGTAAAATGGGAATGATGATACCGACCTCCTTTGTAAAGCACTTTGAAATCTACGGAAAAGAGCCAAGTAAGAGCAAGGTACTATTATTATTATTTTGTCAAACTTCTTGGACTTGCAAATCTAGGCTGGAATAGGCTTCCTTGGAAGAGTTTCTGATGTTTCCTGCTATTAAGTAGAACAGGAAGAAACTGTCTCTCCCATGGCACTTCTATATCTGGCCCCAGCCAGACCTACAAAGTGAAAAGGCATGATAAAAAGGCAATACATAATATGGGAAAGGGAAGGAGGGATTAGAGACAGGTCACAATATTTTTGCATATTGATGGGAGGAGTTTTTTGTGGTTTGCATTTGGCAGGGGCCCTGCAGGAGAAAAAAAAATATTTTTTTTTTAAAAACTTACCCAGATTGATCTTGTCCCTGCTAAAAAAAATATTAATTTTTAAAACGACCTGTCTGTCCTGGATATGCCTCCTCCTCCTTTGATGCTACATCAGAGTGGAATGACTTCAAAGCTACATAGAGGTAAGTAGGTGGGGGGGGGGGGTGCGAATGTCAAAAGAAGGTAGCTTTGAAGATCTTAGGACCACAAGCTAGGAGAGGCTTTTAAAGGATAACAGCCAGTGTGACACCGAATCAGTTTCAAAAGGAAGAGTTAAAGGTTGTTTTTCCAGGAACTACACCTGCTAATTTTTGTAGCTTTACAAAAATCACGTTTTTAATTTTAAAAAGATTTCTCTCCGCCCTCCCTTTTGCGGTGCGAGACACCCACACAGATGGGGAAACTGTGAAACCACTGACACAAAGTGCTAACCTGAAAAGTACATTTTAACTAAATTATACATTTTCCATCTAATCTCTTTTCACCTCTAGTCAATTTAGGTGTTACTTGGAATAGCAGCAAGTTAACATTTGCAGACCGAGGTGCAATTTTTATTGCTGATTGTGTCCCTTTATATATATATATATATATTTATTTATATTTTTTTAAAATAAATATTTTACTTTTAGTAATTATTTTCCCCCAAATTTCTCCCCAAGCCTTTCTTTTCAGATCTGAATATATGGGCTCTGCAGGACATTTTGCCCCTAGACAGCCAGGTAATAGAAAACCAGGGTGTGGAATTAAATCCAGACTCTCCTATAGCATTGCAGAACACTACCTGTTACACCATGAGGCTAACCTCATTTCTACTGTAGCTGTATACTTTGGACAAAAAGGTTGCAAAGGCTTCTGCCCTTACTTTCGGTTTGTTTCTTGATCTTCAGCGTTACAGTCTCGCCAGCCATTTGGAGTAGGTGGATGGCTTCACTGAGTGGTTTGCCCTTGAGACTCACATTATTAATAGCTAATATCCGGTCACCCACATGGATTGCTCCAGTCCTAAAGAGGAAAGACACAAAGTTAGAAACTTTAAGGAAGGCTGATGTCTTCCCTAATATAAGGGCCGTTAACAGATTGCTTTAAAATAATGGCGAACTAGCCTTCAGTACTTTATAAGAGCAGGGACAGAGTTGTCTTGTATGTGTGGAGCGTGTCTACCATATTATGGCTGGCAGCAGAATACTAAATCAAACATCACTAGGAATCTCTATATATAAACGCCCCAGTCACCAGAATAGCTGTGAATCTGTAAGAGTGCAAATGAAGTTCAGCTTTTTAAATTGGCAGCTCCTATAACTAAGTCAAATCTATATGAAAAGGACACAAGCATTCCCAGCATGTGATTTCTGTGAATACACATGCATGCAACTTTTAACATTTGTTTCCACATTCATGGAAAGAACACAGAAGGGGGCAAAACCAAAGAAAGCAAATAACTTTCAAAATTCAAACCAACATATGTGCAAATTGTTTTGCTTGGCTAGCTGAGTTACCGATCTTGATTCAGCAAAGCAGGTGACTTGATTTTAAGTCCATCCCTAAGCAAAAAGGACTTGTGCACATGTACTTAGATGAGTGAGGACCACACTGCCGAGCATCTATTGGAAGACATTTGCATTACTAATCTACAACAGTGACACACATTCACTTTGCATCTGCCACCGATTGACATGCTGGCTGGCAGCTCTGTTAACTGTGGGAAATACAACCATATACTGACCCCAACGACTGGCAACTGGGAGGGAAGATCTAGGTGCTTGTTGGCTCTTACTTATGATACCAATGTTAATGCTACCTAATGATAAAAATCAAAATGAGAAGCTTCTTTCCTCAGCAGTTCCACAATTTTTAGCTATATCATGGGAAGCTCATGTGACTGAATCAGAAAGAGTGAAAGTCTGGAACATCACACCTTTCTATCAGAGCTGGAGTTCTCAGCTAGGTCACTTCCACTCATTTAGTAAATTACATTTGACTGCAGTTCCTCTAAATACAAGCATTTTGCACTTTGCCAGCTACTGACAAGAGCAGATACTTATCTCCTCCTTTAAAATCACATGCTGTTACAGTGAGGACAAATGAAAGTTGAAAACCACCACCTGTCAGTTTTAAAAATCTATTTTACAATTGCCAAGGCACAAAATTAAGCCATATTTTAGGTAAGAATTTTCAGCTGAAGTACACGTTCTCTAACTGGCCACTAGATGTCACTATAGTTCCACTGAAGTTCCACTGAAAAAACGCTTGGGGAAAAATTGAAGTCATTTAAGTAAATTACCGATTCAAACTGGATCTGGAGTATCTGCCTTAAAGTTTCATCTATACAGCCAAATTTAAAAAAAAATGTTCTTAAATGGTGGCACATTACAGCAGACACTTAACTTGCTACAGTAGTTCTAACACTTAGAAACAACCTCTCCTAGCAATGAAATCAATCACTGAACCATGAATGGGACCAAATTCCCCCCTTCCACCCACACCATAAACCAGCCTAGCTAGAAGCAATCTGAGTAACGCAATTATGGTTCAGTATGTATAAATTGGTTAAATGACTCAGCAGAAGGAAGAAAAAAAAAGTCACAGTTAGCAAGGTCTTTTCCTCAAGTATTAGGTAAAGTAAATTAAAACACTCAGACTACCTTGGGTGTGGAGACAGGCCTAACCAAAGCCTAACCAAAGGCTTTTCTCCTAAGCAGCCACTGATCTAGCCTGTCCCATAAGCACTTGTGCAAGGGAGAGGGAAGCTGAGCCGAAGCGAACCCCTTGTTAACCAGAGAGCATAGACTCAGACTTTAAGGTCAGAAGGGACCATTATGATCATCTAGTCTGACCTCCTGCACAACGCAGGCCACAGAATCTCACCCACCCACTCCTGTAACAAACCCCTAACCTATGTCTGAGCCATTGAAATCCTCAAATCGTGGTTTAAAGACCTCAAGGTGCAGAGAATCCTCCAGCAAGTGACCCGTGCCCCACACTGCAGAGGAAGGTGAAAAACCTCCAGGGCCTCTGCCAATCTGCCCTGGAGGAAAATTCCTTCCCAACCCCAAATATGGTGATCAGTTAAACCCTGAGCATGTGGGCAAGACTCACCAGCCAGCACACCGGATGTAGGTCCCGATACCCTGTCTCACCCCTCCCTCCCCCCATTTATTGTCAATCATGCTACCCTTTCCTTTATTGCTGCTCCAGTGCAAAACGGTCTAAAGAGTTTCTGCTGATGACACGATAGACGCATTTGCTGCCAGAACCAAGACACAGAGGACTGGTTTGCAGCGATAGGGTTGTGGCTCTAGCAGTGGTCTGATGCGGATCTGAGGCAAGGTAGCTTTGCACTCCACCAGAGGGTATTCGAAGAGCCCTGTCCAAACCTGAAAATTCTGGCGGCGAGACACAAAACACTTCCTGGTGACGGATTTAAACCCTGGCCAGGATCTCACCCAAGCAGTGCTGACCTGACATGAGCGCTCACCATTGTGTGTGTTTTGGGGTGGGGAGAAAGCACTGCATTCCCACGGACTGTGGCTGCCCTTGGGTAGTGCAGCTGTGCTAACGGGCATAAGGATTAATGGTGGGAGACAGCTGTTGCTTCACAATGACCCCGTTATCCTGAATCCTCCTCTGTAAGGTTTATACCAGCTCAGACGTTTGCAACATAAAAATACTCAAGGTTGAGCTAAAACTAGTCACTTGAATCTGGAGCCTTCTAAGCCCAGCCAGACAGTCTGTCACCCAGCAGGACATACATGTGGCAGATCCTAGAGGACACTCTGCCTTCCCCATTATCCAGAAATCAGTAGCAGCTGCAGTCCAACTACGAGGCGAATCGGCCAGAACGTCTCCATTGTGATCACAGGAAACACATCCACTGCATGTTGTGATGTCTACTGAGCAGTATGCTGTGCTCCTGCAAAAGCTATATACATAGGCTTGGGCTCAGCTCTGAATTCTCTATAAACCTATGGTATGTCTTCTGGGGGCCCGGCTCATTTCCAAGAGGCATCGTGCTAAGGAGGAAGGGAAGGAGGATTGCTGGATGCTGGGAGAGGGGGCAGAACAGGACGCTTGGGATTAGCTATTCCCATCCTCCTTCTCCCTGCTGCCCCCACCTCCGCAGATGTGACCTGGCAATGTCTCCCTCCGCTCCCAACTTCCTAGCCCCTCTATTGTTTTGGGAAGAGCATCTTAGAACAACCATATTCACCCTA